AACAATGCCAAGATTAATCGACAGTCGAGCATGGAAAGTCTTTATTTTGTTTGAGGCTTTCTAGCAAATACATCTCAAAATTATTTTCATAACTGTTTTTCTTTTTTTAAACTAGGTGAAAGCGTTTGTGAGCATTAATCAGCCGTAAAAGGTTTAAAGTCAGTGTCTACTCAGAATCTTATAGAATGTTGATGTGGAGCAGTGGGGGCCCTAACAGGTAATCTCCAGGTTGCTCTGCAGAGGAAGTTTCGAAACTGTATCGCTCTGCTCCGTCCTTTGCATTATACAATAAATTGCCCTCAAAATCCTGCAAACCTCCAGAAGCCTTCGTCTTGAGTATAGGGCTCTCGATCTTTCCAGTTAATGCTTGTCTGGTTCATTACCTACGTGCATCCACCTTATAGGGAAGGACATTCAGGTCCACACCAACCTTTTGGGGAGCTCCCTTTGTTCCAAATCTTACCACTTGCAGCCAAACCTAGGGTAAGCGAGAGGGTGCAAGCATTGAAACAGCCTTCTGGATAAAGTTGCCTCGTAAATTTATTTTTCAACGTGTACGGATGAGCATAAGCAGCAAGCGGTGCGGAATAAAATCTTTAAATATCCCGAAAAGAAATAAATTCTTGAACATCTTATTTCCACTGTTCCATTCATAACTTCTTGTTTCCAGGTGCATGTGAAAATTGCGGTGCATTCGGACACGTCAAGCGAGACTGCTTTGAACGACCTCGTAAGATTGGCGCAGCGTGAGTCACTTACATTGTATGGTATCCCTTAGCACCGTCTTGTTTGGGTCAAATTTCATGCTGGTTTTGGTAGTACACCTTTATCACAGAATGCAGCATGCGAAATTACATTCTAGTCTTATTTGATTCGAAGTGTTGCTGTTCGGAGCAATAAACTTTATGTTTCCGCATTTTCGCTCGCTGATTAGTCTGGAATCCTATGACCTTATTACTTCAGTAAAACTGGTGAAGACATTGCTCCGGACGATTACGTACAACCGAATCTTCTCCTTGATTTCGATGCTAAAAGGGATCGATGGAATGGATTCGATCCGAGCACGCATGAGCAGGTATGTTGTATCTTTTTGACAAGTCTTATCTCGGAGCTTTTGATTATAGTGATATATTTAGGTCATCAAAGAGTTCGAACATTTGGAGGAAGCTAGAAAAGCAATTCGCGCTGAACAGGTATGCCGAAAATTAGATAAAGTGTCGTTGAATTTATCTTCATATTATCTTTCATAAAACATTGCTTGTACTAGTACTGTGTAGTGTAGTACTATCCTGCCATGTTACAGTCTGGAACATTATTATACTACTTTATTTTGATTTACTTCATCTAGATCCAAGCTGGTCTTCTTGATCCTGGCAAAGAAGGCGTCACTGATGACGACAAGTATGCCGAAGATGCTGACATGGCTGGTGTGTCCGTTGATATGGATTCTCGTACAAGAATTACTGTGAGTACCTAAGAAACTGTCAATTTGGTCCTTACGTTTTCGAAATCTAACTTTTTCTACGATCCAAACTTTTCTAGGTCCGAAATCTGAGAATTCGCGAGGACACTGCTAAGTACCTGTTCAACCTTGCGGAAAATTCGCCGTATTATGACCCGAAGTCTCGTTCGATGAGAGAAAATCCCTTTGCCAATGTCCAAGGAAAAGAAAAAGAAGCCGCACGCTTTGCTGGAGAAAATTTTATCAGGTAAGGATCTAAAGTCTGTAGGGAATTTTACCTCTACGTGGAAAAACTGCAGCAATTATCTTCAGGTATACTGGCGAAGTTGTCGAGGCCAATGAAGCACAGGTTTTTGCATGGCAAGCGCGTTGCAAAGGCATTGATGTTCATGCATTGGCCGAACCCACAAAGCTTGAAGCTTTGAAGAAAGAGTTCAACAAAGAGAAGTCTACCACTGACAATGAACAGCGCAAGGTAAAATATTTTTCTGCTTTTTTTCGCTCATTTTTGCCTTTTGCATTCAACACCCAGGTTTCCCCTCTAGCATTTCCTTCAAAATTCAACTAAGTGGTTCTTCATCTTAGGGCCGCATGCATTAACATCCCCGTTGGGGAGAGG